AATCAACGAGTCCTTTGGCTGAATTTATTGTGAGGTTTCGAGATAAAGGACCATGTAAAGAGATTTATACTAAACGAGCACAGCTCTTGCTTCCACTCTATCCTCCCAAGGCTAACAACGGCGTTCTGACCTCGAAGTTTGTACAAACAATTAATGCTCACGGTAATCCTCACTTCGTGTGGTCATCATTAATGTGTAAAGACCCCAGTATCATGAGAAGTATACTCTGCTCTAACCCACAGTGTGGGAACAAACAACGAAGCATTCCTTCCTGGTGCCCTGACCTTCAATCAACGAAACACTGGGGATACAGTCACTTACAAAGAACATTGGCATATTATCCGAAGCTTTGGAATGTACAGTGTTCTTGCGGGGCATCAAAACAGGAAGAAAATATCTCCAATGCCCATGTTTACTTAGAGCTCGATGTCAGACAATCAGCGAAAGAATCTGCTGCAACTTGCGACCTATATGATGTGCCTCAAGCTTTAACATTCAATCGTGAATACAGGTATGATGTGATTTATTATTTGTTCATTCGATGTTCTTTGCATTGGTAATTAATAAATAAAAACTATTGATGACATAATTATCATTTGCAGATTGGCTGGAATCATCCATTATTCTGCAAAGGAGGATCACTTCATCGCTTACTGTCGACGTCAGTCTGGGAGCTGGGAGATACATAATGGGTTGCACAGTAAAGTCGAGCCTGTGAGAGGAAATCCTAGAATACAACCTAATTGTGCAATTTATATAATGAATCAGCAGGAAACGTAAGGTTCTGTATTTTTGATAATTCAGTGTTCTACCTCGCCAAAATTTATAGATTAATGACAGTTTATATGTAATAATATAATTATTACTGATAGTTGTTTGTTCAAAGAGTGAATTAATCTAAAATCTTTGTTGATTAACTGGAATGAGAAATTTTAACGAATATCTTTTTCGAGGAAATTCTAATATTTTTCTCACCAAAAGTTCGCATTTCCTTCAATTGTTTTGTAATGCAAATTGAATAAAAAGAGATATAGTTTGATATGATTTTAGTCCTGAATCTATTCATAAATTTAATTCTCACAGAGGAATTCAATCGTCGAAAGCCGCTGTTCTTGACCTGAAGGGAATTATGGATAAGGAAAAAAATTGTTTCAACTGCGGGGACTCGTCGGTTGAGAAGGAAAAATCGAAATGATTTCTTTCATAGAACTTGAAAGCCTCCTCCAAGGATATCTGTCGAAAAATTCTTCTGAAACCCGTTATTTTAAAGATAATTACGATTGAAGTGACGATATTTCTCCAATCTACAATAAGAAAAAAAATATTTTTATAGGTAGATAACTGATTAACTATTCTATTTAGAGAATACTGATTGATCGAGAGACATTAGAAGATAACAGGAAATGATTTCCTCTCCTGGAGGCTTTCATTAATACAATAATCCCACATGGAAATGCGTTATGCCCTCTCTTATTTATTGTATGATTATCTTGACAATGAACAACGTCAGAAGCAATTATCGAATACTTTTATTCTGTATAAAATTTACCCTGAGAGTATAATGCCCATCACAATTTCCTCTTGAAATCCCTCTTTTTTGTAGATGAATCAACATATTCGATCTATAGGGCGAGCTTGAAACTTCCAACACACTCTTTGAAGAATAATAAAATTTTAATAATGCTTCAAAATACCCATTGTAATTTTGTTACAGTGAGATAATTAAGATAATTGATCTCGAGCGATGTCGTATGTGTAATACTCCTGCCGAA